CCCGCCGCCTCCTCCAGCTCGCACACGCACACCTCCACCACCATGTCTGCTACCTCTGGCTTACTGGCACATAGCGCTGGATAATCAGAAGAAAATAGTATTATTTTGAATATAAATATCTACAAAAAAATGTATGATACAACTCATTGTCAACACAAAAAAAGAATAAGAGATTATAAAATATTTCATCTATACATACTAATATTATAAAGAGGAATGATTTGTATATTTGTATTCGATTCACGTAAAACTGGGCAGATTTGAAACTTTCCTTTACCGTTAGAAAGGTAATTTATCTGAGCAATACATTTTATAAAACGACATTAAGTTAAACAAAAATAATTTACCCATTAAAACATCGGTGATAATTTTGACAGCATTGTTAGCATCAGGCACGCGGCCCGCCGCAGCGAGCTTCAATAGGTCGACAAGCGCCCGCGCGTCTGTCTCACCTAAATTCGTTGTAAAATCGTCCAGCAACAACTGAAAAAAAATCAATTAATAGTCAGTCTATTTTTCTTCTTTTTTATTCTGTCAGAACGTTATTTCTTTGTTTTTAAAATAAACGGAAAGATCGCAGACTAACTTTAGGCGCTTCTGCTTGTTGCACGGTCATTGTCGCGGCGGCCACGGAAACAGCACTCGAGGACATTAATGTTGAATGCCGCGACGAGATAGAACCGCTTAGGGGGCTGCTTGTACCACTCTGAGGGGCAAAATAAATTATCAAGACAATAAATACAACTGTAGTTTTACATTAAACTTTTTTATGGACTTTACTAGTTTTAACCCGTGACTCTCCGCGTGGAATTAAAAAAAAGTAAATAGCCTATGTGTTCTTCCAGACAATTTATACATCTATACCAAGTTTCATCGAAATCCGTTCAGCCGTTGAGGCTACAAACTCTAGCATCTATCCATCCATCGATCTAAACATACACATTTATTATATTACTATGAGTATAAAGATAAATAAATAATAAATGATTATAGTGTACACTTACTGGTAGCGTAGTTTTATCAGCGGGCGCCTCCCCGCCGCCGGTGCGCGCGTCCGCCTCCGCGTCCTCCTCCTCCACGTCTAAACTGATCGACACCGGCGCAGACGAACACGCCTCGTGTGACCTCAACGCCTCCACCAATAAGCTGCGCGCCTAGTAGTTACAATAAAAAATGAATATTGCAAAAAGTAATTTTACATACATCAAAAAGGTCGTATATTACCTGAGTTATGTATAATGCAAGTAATATCAACGACAACGCATGTTGGACGGTGACAGGCGGCTCTAGAGGTAAAGATGCTGATGCTAAGGACGGTCTCGGCCCTTGAGGCTCTTCTATTCCTGTCTCTTCGGCGTATAAACCTAAAAAAATAGAGACACGTTAATACGTACCTATAATTAACAGAAAATGTTTATTTTTTAATTAGATATAGATGTTACTCGCGACTTCGCCTGCGTTAAAGAATAGTAATAAACATAACCTAAGTTACTCAGTGATAACGTAGTTTTTAATAAGTAAAGGAATTCTTGAAATCGGCCAAATAGTTTTTGAGTTATGTCAATACATGTAAAAATCCTAAAATGCAAATCATTCTTCTTAAATTATACTAATGTATAAAGTAGAGGTTGTGTAAAATGTTAACAATAATTAAACTAGGTTGGAATGTACCTAAACTGTTAGCTCCTAGAGGATCCTTGAGTGTTGGGAATGGCAAGGGCACAGGTAGCTGTGTGAGGGGCGGCGGGTGCGTGTGCGAGCGCAGCGCCCACGCGGCCGAGTGGGAGGAGCCGGCGGCGGCGCGCTGCACGCCCTCCACGCCCGCCGCCGCCGCCGGCCGACGGTTCACGCACGTCGTACCGTTACCCTGCTGCCCGTGGTCATTGTCACCCCACGCCCATACCTACGTAAATACAGATAAATAATATTGTGTTTAACTTGTTACCGACAGCGCGGCAGCCAAAAATACAAAACACTTTTATCAAATTAATATATCTATATTCAAAAACTTATTTACACAAATAAATATACAAAAACTTAAAACTCTCTTGATTACATCTTGACTTCTTCTTTTATATATTTTCTTTACCAAACGATTATTGCCTTGGTGACCAGTATGCAACCTCTTTGGCTGTATAAATACTGCTTGTCAGCCAAAGAGGTTGTATTTTGCACTCAACATATTGTATGTATGTTTTGGAAACATTAGCAGCGAATTTACACAAGATTGCCATTTTCAAACAAACTTCATACTAAATAACAACCGCAAAGTACTATACAAAGCGTCGTCTAGTAAAGGTTTTAACATAATATCTGACTAGCTGTTGCTCGTGACTTCGTCCGCGTGGAATTACAAAAAAGTCAAAATATAGCCTAAGTAACTTAGCAACAACAATCGACCCGTTAATTTACGAGTTATTTCAATAATAAAAAAATCCAAATCTTTCCTCTTTATAATATTAGTATAGGAGTAACGATTACTTCTTACCTGATTATCGCTGGTTACGGCTAGACAGTGCAATGCGCCCACAGCAACATGTATGACCTGGCGACCGCGCAACGCTTCCACTAACGTAGGCCGACGTACGTGCGCGTCCAGCCCGTGTCCCAGACGGAAATAGTCTCCTTTACCCCAAGTCCATACCTATTAAATCATATAACAACCATCAACCAAATAATAAGCAAGAAATCGAGCAGTGTAAAAAGTTCAAAGGACATACCTCTCCATCTCTTGTTAGTGCTAAACTGAACTGAGCACCACACTCCACTTGTATCACTCCCAATGTATTCAGTCGCTCAATATTCATGGGTACAGCGCAACCCTCTGAACCACCACGACCTTGAACAATTTTTTATATATTTGTCTGCACATATTCTTCAACTGACACAAGATGCTCACGGTCTTATAAACTTACCCAACTTTCCAAAATCACCATCACCCCATGAAAACACTTTTCCACACATCGTCAGCGCTAGTGTCTGCGCGTCGCGAGATCCACATGCCACTTGTATTACCCTGAACGCAGATAGAGCTTCCACCTACAATTATTAAATTGCACGAACTTGTCGAAGTAGACACAAACATTTCATTTGAGAAATAATTTGTTATATATTCAAATCGTACCATTTTAGGCGAAAGCTGTGTGGTATCATCGCCATGTCCCAGTCGTCCGTACTCTCCCAGGCCCCACGTGTACAGATGTCCGCGGGCGGTGACGCACGCGCTGTGGGCGGAGCCGCAAGCCACGCCCACCACCCGCTCGCTGGCTAAAGCTTCTATCATACGTGGAGCTTCTAACGTGAGTCGATTGCCGTGCCCGAGTTTGCCGTCCTCGCCCTCGCCCCATGAATACACCTATTAAAATTTGAGTACAGCGTTTCAAATATCCCTTAACACAATACGTAGTATTGCTGGTCCAATATTAACTGACCTTTCCATCTGCTGTGAGAGCGAGGGCGTGCTTGCCGCCGGAGTGCACGGCGACGCGCCGCACGAGTACGTGTGCTAGATACGGGTTTGCGCGCGGCGTCGATACATTATTGCTGTGACCAAGTCCCAGACGACCGTTCGTACCTTCGNNNNCCTTCAATAATGAAAAAAATCATAATCACTTTGTCGTCACTTACTTTCCCATCATGAGATACTATGAAAAGTGTCTTCGAACCCCCAGCGATATGGATCGGCTTTAACGCGCTCAGAACGGGCGAGAACACGGGCACTTTTACTTTGGATCCTTTAACACCGCCTAACTGGTCTTTGTCATTTAAGCCCCAAACATACACCTGTTAACAAAATTGACTCATAATAATTAGTGCAATAAAGTTTAAAATCTAAAGAAAATGATATCTACAGTACCTTAGGGCAATCACTGAGCGACGACCCTGGATTGCATTCAGTTGAAGCTGCAAGGGTACGATTATCTTTCTCTATCCAATCTTCAGCTACAAAGTTCATGCCCTAAAAATAAAATTATGAGAATATAGTTGAATTATTTAGCAGCTCTTAAGTACTATTCGAAGCTGTTAAAAGTAAATATATTCCATCTTTTTATGCTTACCGACAAAACTTCCGAGTATAGGGGATTCGGTCGAAAGCCAGTGATGTACAATCCATGTACGCGACAATCCGCGTTATTATTTTGAGGTTGCTTGATATTGATCTCTATACAGGGATAAAACTGAAAAGACATCAAATTATAATTCTTTACTTCCGTGATTAAAACGGTTATTTTACGCTTTTGTGAATTTTCACTACACGTACTTGCTTGCAGTCTGCCAGCAGCTGTATCTGCGAGAGGTGTGCTGGGGGCCGGTCGC